GAAACCAGAAGTGGAGGAACCCAAACCCCTTTCCACATACGTGTGGGTGCGTGTGTGTCTGTGTGTGCCTGTAACTCCACCTGTGCTGTGCCCGGCTCTTAGCAGAGAACAGATTCTGGAAGACAAGAGCCTGGTATCTTTGTGTCTTTGCACCCACATCCAATGTGTCAGAGCCAACTCTATTTATGCCTCCCTTACTGTCAAGAGTCATTGACTGACTCCTTGATCGGTGGTAGGGTCTTTAGCAGGCACAGCAGATAAACGACTGAGGCCTGGTTATTTCTTCAGGATTTATGGTTTTGTGACAAGGTTAGGAGGAATATATCTGGTAGGTTTTAACTAGTATTATAAAATGACGCGATGAGTGCTGTCCTCGGGAGTTGAATGAATCTTCGTTGGAGCCTGAAATAAGGGGCTTCATGCTTTCTCTTAAAGGGAGGAAAGGACAGGAGAAAGTCCGAGGATTTGCCAAAAACACATTTCATATCCTATTAACCTGAATTTGTAACGCTGTGCGCTGCCAGAGCTTGCAACTCAAAGGGTGGCTGGTGGACCGGTGACGGTTGGGGAACGAAATGTTACTGGTCTGTGAACTTGAGTGTCAGCGTTTAAAAATTTGTACAGCAATTTTAGTAATTGTATGATTGATTAATCTACTAATAAAAAAACACTCGGACTTGTAATTTCTATGCCTTCTCATTTCCTTTTTCTAGAAGTTTCTTTTTTACTGTATTCTACCAAAATGTTAGTCTGTGGCCCATTGAAAATACTATAAAACTGGTCCCTCTCTGTGGGTAGTTTGAGAAGCACAGCAAGAGGACAGAGATGTGGCTTTTGGTCTTGATCTTTTAGTCTTTGAGGTTCCCACAGTGCCTAAAGCAGCAATTGGATGCCATGAGTTTCTCCTCAAAGGCCAGAGGCCACTGTGTTTACAGGGTTTATCGGACAGAATCCCAGCAGGAAATAGATAGCATGGTCAAATAGGGTCACTTGAGAAGAGCTTGAGAAAGGGACAGTTGACAAAGGTGGAGGCAGGGTATGGTCGTCCACAAAGGGGACCGCGGTATCCTTGAGCTAGTCAAAGCAGGGTCACTGGTCCCAGGACCACAGGGCTAAGGGAGCGAGCAGGTACCAGAACCTGGAGAAGGAGCTGTGGGATGAGGACCACTGACAGGCACGATGACCTTTGGTCAAGGGTCATGGAACGTGGCCAGTCCACAGCAATCCCGAGGAAAGCGCTGGGGGAATAAATACTCTGACTTCATTTTGTCCCTCCTCTGGATCCGCTGCTGGCTTTCCCCATTGGCTGAACCCAACCGGAAGTAGAGGACAAGGGAATCTGCTAACACAAGCAGCACAGAGAAGGGAGTTGAGCGGACACGGAGAGGCAAGCTTGCAGCGTTTCTGTCTCCCTGCCGCGGTTCTAGAGAGTTTCAACTCAGAATACTGTGGGCGTTTCCAGAGGAGTGAGCGTGCCTCATATGTCCTAGGTGTGTCATCAGTATTTGCAAAAGTCATGGGAGCCCTTAGGATGGAGGTGATGTCAATGCATTCACAAGTCTGAGAAAAGGAAGAGAGCATGGCGGTTTTGACCCAAAAGCTTGAGGAGAGAGAGAGTGGAGTTACCAAAGGGTCTGGGATGACGGCAGTGGGGGAGGCCCGAGGAGGTGGGAGTTCAGTCTATCGAGAGCGAGAAGAGAGGAAAAGATACTATGGGAGAGGAGAATGTGGGAGAAAATAGTACAGATAGGAAGGAACCGATATTCATTCACTCCTGGGTTCTTCTTCATTGCAGTCCCGCCTTCTCAGCATCCGGCCCCTTCCCAGAGGAAGACAGTATGCTTCAGTTCCAGGTAAGTTCAAGCTTCCTTTCTTTCTCTTAAATGCCATGTCCATCCTGAGGAGCTGGGGATCTCGATTTTCTGGAAGGGGCTCAGCAGTTTTGGAGTCACTGTGGTGTGGCAGGCCCTTTCCCTTGCTTGTAAGAGCTGTGTGAGGCAGGCGCTGTTCCTCCCTCTGTAGAAATGAAGAAAGACGCTCAGAGATGTCAAGATGGTTTGCCTATGGGTGCCTGTCCATTCATTGCTTGTCACGAGTCCACGCGAGAGGAGGACGGAAATCAAGAGTAAGAGTTCAGGAACTTTGTCAGAAGCCACTTGACGGCCCTAACAACAACCTTTAGTGGAATCGGAGGATCTGGGACAATATTTCTAAATAGCAATCGAATTGACTGCACACTCCTATATATTCCAGTATGTATTTCTAAAAAGGAAATGGATTAATCAGATTACCAATAATTCTTTGGTATCCCCTAATACCCAGACAATAATCAGGTTTCCCTGGTTGCCTCAGAATTGCTTCTTTTTGGTATCATTCACATGTTCCTCTTTCCGCACCGTTTCCTGTAAGCGGGAGCGCTAGACGCTTGACCAGACTCAGATTTGAGCTGTTCCCAGAGTACGTCGCAGATGATGCTGTGTGCTAAGGGAAAGATGTTAAGAGTTTTGCGTTGATGTTGATTGGTTTATAAACTTGGTTTATTAATATTTTTGGACTGTCCTGATACCCGAATCCTATAGCAGTCTCTGCATGGGGTGGCCCAGCTTTGAGGGTGACGGGGGACATGGGGGTTTTGTTTTCCCAGGCTCTATGGTTGAGGCCAAGAAGGGAGAATGGGAGTAGGCTGGAGCAGCCCCCCCTCACACCCATTCCCCCTGCAGAGTCCATACCTCCCGGGCTGCGGGGTGTCTGCATGTCCTGGCTCACTCGCTCCAGCTCCACGTCCTCCCCCAGCCTCGCGGAACCCTCTAGCGCCCCGCAGTGTCCGAGCCTCACGCACAGCCAGTTGTCCAACAGGAAGCAGGATTTGCAGAGTCCCAGCGCCAGCATCGCAGCACGTGGCTTCAAAACAAGGGTTGGGAGCAGAAAGACAACAACTTAAGGACTGGCACAGCTCCCAGCTTTGCCTTTTTTCCAGTGGCCCTTTGTGGGGACGATTGATGTGGCGTGTGCTCGGTGTTGTAGGAACACGTGACCTTCAAGGATGTGGCCGTGGTCTTCACCGAGGAGGAGCTGGCGCTGTTGGACGAGGCCCAGATCAAGCTGCACCGAGAGGTGATGCTGGAGAGCATCAGGAACCTCGTCTCAGCGGGTGAGCACAGCGACACCTGTCAGCAAGCATCAAACCACTGGTCCCGTTGCCTTAAATGATCAGCTTCAAACCAGAGAGAATATTCCAATGGGAGCACAAAGGGGAACTGGCCACTGGAGAGAAAATGCCTAAGAGATGCACGTACAATGAGAGCCTTGCAGTTAGTGAGTTTTATCAGGTAAGTGTGGGCCAGTGTCCCTTGGGATGTGCTGGTCAGAGAGCTGTCTTCCACCTGCACCGCGCCCTTGGGCCTCTGATGCAGTTAGCAAGCCCACCCCGCCCCCCTCACGTGTTTGGGCTCTTGTTCTTTCCTCCTGTTTCTCAGAGTGAGATTGAGAAAGTTCACATGGTGCCAAGGGCCTTGGTCCCTTGCTTCCTTCTGGAGAAACCCCTGTGTTTGGGACAAACTCGCATGGAAGGAACCAAACCGGGATCCGTCATGTAGGAAGTACAGTGTAGGTGTCAGCTCGCTTGCTGGTAAGTCTCCAGCCTCCTTGCAATTTCTCAGAGGTCCACACACGGATATGTATGACCTCAGTTGAGTTCATAAGATAGTTGCTGTTACCATTCCCCTTTCACGAAGGAAACAGCTGAGGCACAGAGTGGAGAAGTAACTTGCCCGTGACCACACGGCTTGTAAGAAGAACGAGGATTGGAACCCTCCCAGTCGGGCTCTAGGCCCTGTGTTTTTAGCAACTATGTGAAACTGAGTACCACTGTGCCTATATGTTAGAGACACAGGCTCCTCCGAGAATGGCCTAAATCAGGATGCTGCCCCACTGGAGAGTCCTGAAATCAACTTACTGTGTCGTAGCCAGTAGTTTTTGCAAAGCAAAATAGATTAATGGACTAGAACACAAAAGAATTTGTCAGAGGACCTTGCACCTAGTAAGGTTAGTGTCAGCTGTTAGACTGTTTTAGTTAACAGTCTGTGTCTGTCTCTGTGTCCTGGGTTGCAGTGTAAATGCTTTTTTTATTATAGGTACAGTCAAAACAATTGGAAAACCGCTGCTTTAAGCCTGTTCTGGGTAGCTCAAAGTCCCCCTTTCTGTGATACCACTGTATGAACTAAGGTCACTCAATAGAATGACTCAGAAACTGCCTTGAACAGGAAGCAGGGACCTAAAAGGGGAGACGTTCAGGAAATGGATTGCAGGATCTCGGTGAACTTTCTCTGTCCCTGGAAGCCAGAGAACCTCAGGGAAAATAGCGAGGATATCTCTTTAAGCTTGTCTCAAAGGTGTACATGGGCCTCCCCCACTAACTTCAGGACCACCTTTCACAATGTTATCCCCATTTCAATCCCCACTGCTGCTTTAGGCTCACCATGTACAGTTGTGCAGGTTGTACACAAACATTCATGACAGTTCTACCCATTAACAGTGATGTGAAGGAAAAGACGTTATCAAGAGGTCTTGTTGCTTGTTTCTACAACCTTATACAGCATCTTGGAACGTCCTTGTGATCCTTTGTGTCTCTCACTATGTCCAGCTCTCCAATATTATGTATTTTATATATATACATTTATTCCACGTGAATTGTATTGGATCCCTTACCTTTTGTAGCAAGATGATTAAATGATTAAAGGCTTTTTATTGACTATTCTTATAGCAGGGAGGTGAATTTCTTCCTTTATAAAGTCTTCCCAAGATTTCTTTTGATTTCCCTCCAACACGTGTTTTTTAATCGGCAGCTCATAGATCAGAATGACCGTGGTCCCAATTGTTTCATATACAAAAGGAAGCCAGTCACAACGTCCTACCCCATCCTAGTGCGTTTTCTCAAAACCTCTGGATAGACGATTTACGTGTTCCCTTAGCCAAATTCTCTTTCTCCTCACAGGAGACGGGATTAAAAACAGCGTTTCGAATCTTCAGGAAAAAGGGTTGAGTTACCTCTCGCGAGAAATGCTCTACTGTTGGCAGATTTGAAAACAAAAGATGGGTGGATTAATTGTGACTCAGGATTATGTCACGAACCTTCAAGGAGATGTCCCCAATGTTTAGAAGGAGATGTCTCCCTCTGTGAAGAGTGGGCAAGAGCGTCTCTTCAGATTTCTGAAAGTGAAACCTGTGTAATAAATGCCATTAATTTAGAAAACCAAGATGGCGTGGCTTGGAAAGGCTTGACACAGACCCCAGAATCTTGGAGGAAAGCCCCCGTAATGACCGAGCCCCAGAGTTCTCAGGGAAGATGGAAGAGAATTCATATGGAAGAGAAATCCTGTGGGTGTGCTTGGTGTGAAGACAGCTGCCATGGGACCTCACGTGATGGAGATGATTCCCAAGAATGTAAAGGAGAGGGACCTTATGCATACACTGCCTGTGGGGAAAACTCGGTTATGAAGTCAACCGTCCAACAGCAGAATGTGGTCCACGCAGTCCCAGAGCCTTTGAGATGTACTAACCATGGAGCGGGCTTCACAGAGGATGCGAATCCTTATGGTCGTCACGGCGCTCATAGAGGAGAAAAATCTCATAAATGGGATGCGTGTGGAGGGGACTTTAGTCTGAGCTCAGTTGTTATTGCTCATTATCCAACACCCTCAGATGCAAAAGCGTATGAATGTCAAGAGAGGGCTAAGGACCCCAGACAGAGTTCAGACCTTCCCAGATATCAGAAGGGGCCCTTGGGAGACAAGCCCTAACCATGCATTAAGTGTGGTAAGGGCTTCAGGCGCAGCTCCTCTCTTCGCAACCATCACTGCGTCCACACCGGGGAGACTCCCTACAGATGTGAGGCGTGTGGGAAGGGGTTTGGGTTCAGGTCCCTTCTTTGTATTCACCAAGGCGTGCACACAGGGAAGAAGCCCTATAAATGTGAGGAGTGTGGGAGGGGCTTCAATCAGAGCTCCAATCTGCTCGTCCATCACCGGCTCCACACCGGGGAGAAGCCTTACAAATGCGGCGAGTGTGGGAAAGGCTTCAGCTCGAGCCCCATTCTTCACGTCCACCGGAGGTCGCACACAGGCGAGAATCCTTACAGGTGTGGCAAGTGTGGCAAAGGCTTCAGCCAGAGCACCCACCTTCACATTCACCAGAGGGTCCACACAGGGGAGAAGCGCTACATGTGCGGCGTGTGTGGGAAGGCGTTTGCATACCGTTCAGTCCTCCAAACTCATCAGAGAGTTCACACAGGAGAAAAACCGTACGCGTGTGAAGTGTGTGGGAAGGGCTTCAGTTATAGCTCCTATTTTCACTTACACCAAAGAGATCACACCAGAGAGAAACTGTATCGATGTGACGAGTGTGGCAAAGGCTTCAGACAGAGCTCAGATCTTCACGTCCACCTCTGAGTGCACATGGGAGAGAGGCCCTATAAGTGTGGAGACTGCGGGAGGGGCTTCAGCCGCAACTCGTATCTTCTCGCTCATCAGAGAGTGCACACGGGCGAGATGGAATATCCGGGTCGTGAGCATGGCGAGGGTTTTAGTGATAGCGCAGAGCTTCTTGCTCATCAAAGACTGCTCCAAAGGACGGAAGCATTATGAAGGGAGGAAGTCAGGGTTCCATCAGGAAAACAGAAGCTGCTCTCTGTCCTCCAGGTGACAGAGGCTTCCTCGGCCATTGGGAGGGCCGGGGGAGGGACGCACAGGGACACTGCCACCCGCCATGTCAGCCCACAGCACGGAAGCAGGTGGTTCTCCAACATTCCAAGAAACTACTGTGGATCTCGAGAACTTCGGCAAAGCTGCCATCAACCGTCGTGTGCTCCGGTGGCAAAGTAAGTGATTCTTGACAAATGGACGGTTTGTGGCAATGGCAGTAGTTCGAGGTCAAATTTCCATGAGTGGGCATGCCCCGGAAGGAGATCCTAGTTGGGATGAGTAGGACCTCAGTCCACCCAAAGGCTTTAGTTGTCTATTTTTGGAGAGTCTCTGCTAGAAAGATATTCTCTGTATAAAGAACATTCGAAAGTGTGCTCAGCAATGAAACCCATGTGATTCACATGGTGGGAATATTAGCCCACACTCAGGTTTCCAGGTCCATTAGATGCTCTAAACGGGAGAGAAGCTCTATAGAAGTGACAATTTAAGGGTGTGGCAGAGACACTGCTGTGTGTTCCTCACACGGGTTCTGTTTGCTGTGCCCATAGGAAGACTCCATTTCGCAGCGACCCTTGCCTTAAGAGTGGGTCCACTTGAGTGAGTTCCAACCAATGGCAGGTGAGCAAAAGTGATAGGAGCCACCTCCAGGCCTGGCCCTTAGGAACATCTCGTGACGCCCTCCTGGCTTCTCTTTCCTGTCACAGTGACCTGGAGGCTGTTTGTTCCAGACTGGATTGATGGAAGGTGCATTCTCCCCTGTGTTGGACTTTTTTTTTTTTTTTTTTTGAGTAAGAAATAAACGTTTATTGTGTTACACTCCAGAGATTTGGGCGGTTTATCTGTTCCTAGCATCGCAAAGGCTAAACTGACTAGTACAGAGGGAGATAACAGCAACATTTCACAGTCACTGGAGTCCGCATAAGAAAGCAACGTTGCAATTCAGAGTTCAAAACTTTTCACCTTTAAGGCTCTGTGTGGCAGTGCAGCCACCTAAAGTGATGTGGAGAAGACTTCTTCAGGAAGAATCTTCATTCTTTGTGTGTACATAAAAGAGAAACGTTCCCGGTGATGTGCATTGAGTAAAATTTTACCAAAAGTGCAATCTTTAGACAGAAGAAATCCCGTGCAGCAGAGGAACTCGATAATGTGTAATGGTGGGAAAGTTGGTGAGCTCACACCTTAAAGGCAATAAAAAAAATTAGCTAGAATAGGTGTCCTGCTAGGAGTCTTAATAAAGTTAATTAAGTAAAACTAATATTTGCCAAAGTGAGTAACAATTTTGTTGTTAGTGCTGTCAAGTGGATCCCAACTCCTAGCGATCCTGTGGACAGCAGAGTGGAACCCTGCCCGGTCTTTGTGCACCATCCTCTCCCCTTCTGGCACTCCATCAGACATGCTCTGCTGCTATTCATAGGGTTTTCATGGCCAGTTTTTTTGGAAGTGGGTGGCCAAGTCCTTCTTCCTAGTCTGTCTTAGTCTGGAAGCTCCACTGAAACCTGTCCGCCATGGGGGACCCTGCTGGTGTTTGAAATACTGGAGGCATAGATTTCAGCACCACAGCAACACGCAGCCACCATAGTGTGACAACCGACAGATGGGGGGTGTGGTTCCCAGACTGGGAAACAAACGTGGGCCAAGCAGTGAGAGCCAAATCTTAACCACTAGACCTCCAGGGCTGGCTGAGTTAACAATTTACAGAAAGCCAAAAACGTTCATCGTCAGAAGCAGACATCATTGCTCCTCAGCAGTCTTGTTTAGTGATGGGTTTTTATAAGATGCTCATTTAGTCAGGTTCTTTCCAAAATTATGATTTCATTTAGGATTATAGATGGATTGGGGAAGAGGCGATATCTCGACAGTATCTTTATTCATCTTCAATAACAATGCCCTTTTTGTATCTTAGCGATTTGTGGGTTTCTTCATTTGGATCATATTTTACTGTTAGTTTTTCTTACATTATTTTTTCATGCTGGTCATGGCTTGTATACAGAACAGCCACTCAAATGCAAATAAAACCATCCGTGAGGTGTCGCTTTCTTACTGATGCTGGGGGGCAATAGTGAAAGACTGACAAAACTCAGTGTCAGCAAGGGAGTGGGAAAAAATCAGCATTCTTATATAAATTCTTATATAAATAAAAGGTACAACATTTCTGGAGAGGATTTTGTGTACATTTATCAAAGTGTATAATGAGCATTGTCTTTGAACCACTAGTCCTACAGCTCTGAATTTATCTTTAGGACGTAATGGCACAAGTGGGAAAAGATGGAAAGGACTATCAGAATATTCAGAGGAATATTCAGAAAGGAATCTCGTCCAAGAATATTTGCCGTAATAAAACTTGTAAACAGTCTAAAGGTCCACGAATGAGAGATTGAGTCAATTATGGCATCCCCATCTAATGGAATAATATGGCACCACTAAAAATGATCTAGACCGATAAAAATTTTCATATATTGTTTGAAGAAAAGAATCAAGTCGTAAAAGATCAAGTATGATCCCTGACTGATAGACAAGATTTTTTGGGTGCACATCAGCGCTGGAAACCATCGCCCTCCACCACTCTACACTTCGCTTTGCAGTGTTGTTTCAAGGACTATTTCGAAGATTTCACCCAGTTGGGAATATGACTAAAGTAGGAAATACTTGCCCCAAATTATTTTCCCTTCTCTATAATTCAGAGGCTTGAGAGAACAATTTTGTTATTAGACATAGCAACTTTTATACAATGTTTTTTCATAATGGATTGACTGTCGAGCTCATGACAGGGAAGGTGGGTTGTTTGGAGAAAGCAAGTAATGGTGGAAGGTTGTGAGGTTGTGCTTTGGAAGGAGGCTGCCAGAGATGGAAGGCAATGGGCTGCCCTATCACTAGGCGGTTGCTACAGTCTAGCTCCTTGCAGGGGTAATTACTGCAAATGGACCAGGAGGAGACCCAGCTATCGTCTCACTGGATGACCTTCCTTGTGTCTCTGAGCTGATCATGCTACGTCTTGGGCCAATCCTTGACTTGCTGAACCTTATCCTGTGTGCTTCCTATGTAACTTAAAGTTTACTGAGCTACTGACCAGTAACTGGCACTTCAGAAGTGGCAAGGATTGCAGTTAATTCTAGGGGCAATGTGCCAGTGACCAATTTGTTGCCTTTCAGCTCCAAATTCACCCTTCCATACATACTCCATGATAATGAAAGACATCCCTCTGAGCAGTTCTCCTTGGCAGTAAACACCATGTTAAGCTTTCTCAGAAGTGGGTGCTGGAGGGAGATTGCAGGAGGACAGGGTCTCCTGCTGTTCGTAGCAGCTACATGGTCAGTCATCAGTGTGGCTGTGGGGACGTCTGGTCATGCTCCGCACTAGCTACACGCCCAGAATGCACAGTCCCTTGGTGACCTCATGGCTCTGGCCTGTTGATCACATTCCCACGGACCTCTGGACAGGGACCCTCATGGACTCCAAGCCTTCTACCCACACAGGCACACCCGTTCCCTCTGCACATCCAGGTACCTGGCCACTGGCTGTGGTTCCTCTGTTCCCCAGGTAGATGCCATTCGCTCCCCTCCGCCTTCTGCATGCCCATGCATCCCCCCACCAGTTAGCCTGCCTACAAACTACCTACATCTTAGAATGTTGCTTCCTGCTTGACCAGTAACCAAGGACCAGCTCTGACTCAGGCCAAACAGAAACTTCCCTGCCATCCAGTAGGCTGCAGCTACACTTTCTTCATAAAGTCTGAAACCCAGCCCTGGAGAGATAGGGTTCCCCTTCCAAGTTTGTCCTTAGATACTCTCCCTCAGTATTAGGGTACCATATAGAGTTTAAAAATAGTGTACAGTTACTCTTTTAAAAAAGTTTAATGATTCTTTATATTAAACTTCTGTTTAAATCATTGTGTGGTTCCTGTCTCCTTATTGGACCCAGACTGATAAGGTGACAACTGTAATTGCTGTTTCGATGGGAGTTTGCAGTCAAAGAGTACAGTGAGTTTCATGTAATTGAACAGCGATGAGGGAGAAAATACAGGAAATATGCTCCTTGACTGTCAGCCTTTTGCATGATAGTTGCAGACATTGAGGGCTTGGAAGAGTGGCCTTAACACCTACAGGCAAACTGGAGACACGATCAGAAACCAGGTGTGGAAGGTCTTGGTGGACAGAGAGCTGTTGTAGGAGATAAAGTTCCATCTTGATGAAATTATTTACTATCAATAAGACGATATGACTGTGGTAAAGGGTAAGTCAGAGGTGAAATTCAGCATAATCCTGGTTTACTATTTGCCAGGGAAAGAATCTTTTGGGGTTCAGAATGGGTGCAGCTTTTCCTCAGGATAGAGACCAGCCCCTCAGCCTCGATGGAAGTGTCACAAACAATACTCCAGTTTGGCAAGGAGAAGCCCTTGCATATCACATGTAGCTTATTTATTTATCAGCTTGATTGGGGTATAATTGACATAAAAAAGGTTGCACATATTTAATATATAAAATTTGATGAGGTTGGACATATGCATACACCTGTAAAACCTTCACAACAATCAAGGTAATAGACATATCTATCACCTCAAAAGTTTCCTTCTGCCCTTTCGTTTCTTTATTTTTCTGTGGTGAGAACACTTAACGTGAGATCTACTCACTTAGCAAAATGTTAAGTGTATAATACAGTTTTGTTGACTTTAGGCACTATACTGAACAGCATCTCTAGAACTAACTTACCTTGTGTAATTGAAGCTTTATTCCAATTGAATAACAACTCCCCATTTCCCCTCCACCTGGCCCTAGTACCCACCATGCTATTCTCTGCTCCCACGAATTTGACTATTTTAGGTACCTTGTAGAAGTGAAATGATGCAGTAGCTGTCCTTCTGTGACTGACTTGTTTCAGTTAATGTCCTCCACACACAAAAGAATGAAACTGGAGCCCTATCTTACACCATCCACAGAAATAAACTAAAAATGGATTAAAGACTTAAATATAAGGCCTGAAACCATAAAACTCATAGAAGAAAACAAAGGGGGAAAACTCCATTACATTGGTCCTGGCAGTGATTTCTTGGGTACGACACCAAAAGCACAAACAACAAATGTGGGACTACATCAAACTAAACAGCTTCTGCTCAGCAAAGGAAGCCATCAACAGAATCACAAGGCAACTTATGGAATGAGAAAAAATATTTTCAAACCATATATCTGATAAGGGTTGTTATATAAAATATATGAGGAATTCCTGCAATTTGATAGCAAAAACGAAAACAGCCATCTGATTTTAAAATGGGCAAAGGACTTGAATAGACGCTTCCCCAAAGATGTACAAATGTCCAACAGGCATATGAAAGGATGCTCAACATCATTAATCATCAGTGACATGCGAATGAAAACCACAGTGAGATATCACCTCACAGCAGTTAGGATGGTTATTATCCAAAGTTAACAAGTGTCGGTGAGGATGTGGAGAATTGCAACTCTTCTATACTGTTGGTGGAAGTGTAAAATGGTGCAGCCTCTACGGAAAACAGTATGGAAGGACCTTGAGGGCATTATGCTAAGTGAAATAAGTCAGAGAGAGAAAAACAAATACTGTGTGACCTCACTTATATGTGGAATCTAAGAAACAAAACAAAAACAACTCAAGGATACAGAAAACAGATTGGTGGTTGCCAGAGGCAGCAGGTGGGGAATGGGCAAAATAGGTGAAAGGGTCAAAAAGTAAAAACTTGCAGTTATAAAATATGTAAGTCCTGGGATGTAGTGTACAGCATAGTGATGATAGTTAATACTGTATTGTATATTTGAAAGTTGTTAAGAGAATAGATCTTAAAAGTTTTCGTCACCAGAAAAAAATTTGCAGAATAAATTACCTAGGAATAAATTTAACCAAGGAGATGAAAGACCTGTACACTGAAAACCATGAGACATTAATGAAAGACATTGTAGAAGACACAAAAAATGGAAATATATTCTGTGCTCATACTACCCAAAGCAATATACAGATTCAGTGCAATTTCTATCAAAATTCCAGTGGCATTTTTCACAGAAATAGAACAGTCTTAAAATTTGTGTGGAACCACAAAAAGCCCTGAATAGCGAAAGCAATCTTGAGAAAAAAAGAACAAAGCTAGAGGTATCATGCTCGCTGATTTCAAACTATGTTACAAAGCTATAGTAATAAAAACAGTAGGGTACTGGCATAAAAACAGACACACAGATGAATAGAATAGGATAGAGATCTCAGAAATAAACCCATGCATATATAGTCAATTAATTTACAACAAAGTAGCCAAGAATATACAATGGGGAAAGGATAGTCTCTTCAACAAATGGTTTTGGGAAAACTGGAAAGCCACATCTAA